GTCGGAAGGATGGCTTGAAGACCAGATAAGAATGACTTGAAGAATGAGTCAAAGATTGATGACACTCACAGTTTAAGAATGGTCTTATTTTTTAAGAATTACACTTGTATTTATTCATTAATTGTATATTCACGAATGCTGATATTTTATGATATTCTTTTAGAATACGTATAAATATATTAAAATATATAAGGCTATTAGTATGTAAGAATATATATCAATTTGTATTTAAGTTTGAATGTAAATGAAAATATTAAAATGTTGTTATTCTTAATTGGGAGTTCAAGATTTATGTTATTCTACATTAATATTCTAATAGAATAAAACTTTGAAAGAACATCATTCTAACAAAAAACATTCTGACAGAATAAAATTGGTTATGTTTACAAATTATGTTTAGAATTAAAATGAATTAATTTAAAAAATTCAGATTTTTAAAATTAGGAGTATCAATTATCCCTAACAATCCGAAAATTTCCTTTTCTAAATATAGTTAATTATCCAAAATACCCTTATGCTGAAATTTTTGTGATTATATGGTACATGTTACCCTATTGTAATATCATAGACTCTTATATCATAATCATTGGTTCTATTCCATCTATGGTCCAAATCTGTGTATTCTGGTACACAATAGTTAGTAAAAACAAAATAACCTAACCATATATATATATATATATATATATATATATATATATATATATATATATATATATATATAGGAGTAGGATCAAATAAGAACACCAAAAAGGTTGAGAACACGAGAACAAAATATATTCATTTGTGATTCCATGTATTCATTTGTGGAGAAATGATAAATTTTTACACCTTAAATTTCAGTTAAAGAGAAAAACAATATTCATGTTGATTGTGCGTAAAAATTTATCATTTCTCCACAAATAAATATATGGAATCACATATAAATATACTTGTTCTTGCATTCTCAACCTTTTAGGTGTTTCTTATATATATATATATATATATATATATATATATATATATATATATATATAAGAAACACCTAAAAGGGTGAGAACGCAAGAACAAGTATATTCATTTGTGATTCCATATATTCATTTGTGGAGAAATGATATATATATATATATATATATATATATATATATATATATATATAATATATATATATATATATATATATATTAAATCCCAAAAATCGGCCAACGGGTAATCACACTTTTAAAAATTATATTTTTGCTTAGATTTTAAATTTATTATAAATTTTGTCCAAAATTTACACCTATGGCCCATATTTCAAAATGATTACAAATTCATCATAAATTTAGTTTTTTTACATTTTTTTCTGAAAAAAAAAATCAAATATGTTTTTTTTGGGGTATAAAATCATATTTATACAAATTTTGTGTGCTTATGTACTTAATGCTTAAGCTTCAAGTTTACAAATTTTAATAGATTAATAGGTCATATGTTAAGTCATGAATATGTGAAATAACATGGCTTGAGGGCTTAAGAGCATGGCTTAACAAACGCTTGAAATTAAGGACTTTTAACATAAATTCAAAACTTTATATTAGGGGTTAAATCTGCAATTTAACCCATTATATATCTTCTAAAACTAATGTCGGTGGTTCATTCTTTGGTTTTCATCCATTTCATTTTCTTTACTTTTCCATTTTAAACCCTTTTCTTCTATGTTTCTTTTGCTATTGACCCCTATTTTATAAAATGACATTTTACACCCTCTACTTTATAAAATATAATTTAATCCATCGATTTTGCATTTTGTATATCGTCACTTTCGCCCTAAGTTTTTTGTGTTTTTTTTACGTAGTATATATAATATGATTTTTCCTATAATTATCGCCCTCAACTTTGTCAAATTTCACTTTGTCCCCTTTAGCTTTAAATTTTGTAAACTGCGTCATCATTCATTTGGATTTAAACTTTATAAAATGTCACTTTAATCCATTCAATTTTGAATTTTGTATAATCTAATTTTTCTTATTAACTTCTATTCGTTAACTGAAAAAAAAAAAAAACTAAATATTAATGTGCTTATTTTAATGTATGATTCGGTATAAATTCAAGGTTGTTAGTATTTAGAACTTTAATTCGTCAATATATATATATATATATATATATATATATATATATATATATATATATATATATATACTATCTTATAAAAGAAATCTCATTATTTCTAAAAATATATTGAATACAATAATATTTTTTTTAAACGTTCAAATTATTAAGCTAATAGTACAAGTAACCATCAATAAAATAATATTAAATTTTAACATGTGTTTTGAATCCATATATTTCTCAACAAATTCTCTCCTTCCCTGAATTTCGGATAATTCAAAATTTAAAATCATCATAAAATACATGTTGATTCAAATATCTCTCCTGCAGATGACTCTTTCTTAAGATGTTTTTATTTTAATCCTTACTTGTAATTGATTTCATCATTTTTAACTTTTTGTATTTTTATCTTATAAATATACTGGGTGAAGGTTTTATTATATCAGGTTTGTTCCTAAAAATGTTTTTACTATGTTTCTTTAATGTGTTGGTTTTGCAGGTTCAAATAACTCAACCAAGAGGGCAGTTAGAGCATTGTATTATCATTAGTTTGTATATTTTGGCATCTTACTTTTGCAATAAAGAACGGTTAAACACCATATTTGACATGATTAAGGTAGTTTGTATATTTTTCATCTTATTTAGTCTAAAAATGAAACTTTTCTCATCATTGGTCCTTATAATATCAAGTTTCATCACATGGACTTTCTGATTACAGTGATTATTGTTCTTATTATAAGGTTCTATATAGATTTTGTTCAATATTTTAAGGTTTCGAGAACCTAAATCAATATGAATCCTTGAATTACATAGCATCGTTGAAAATGTTTTAATTTGTGACCAAACTTGGTTTAAAATCACAATGAACAAGTTGACACCTGAGTATTTTGGCTTTCTCAAAGACCTATTTATTGATTTTTGAATCACAACACCTGATATTCTAAAGATTTATTTTTATAAACTATTGTTTATATATTTTAGCATTTTATTTAGTAGGACATTAAATTAATAAAGGAATTAAGGAAAACGAAAAAAAAAAAAAAAAAAAAAAAAAAAAGGACGATAAACAGTACAAGTGGTTTGAGTATGTATAAATAGAAGTAGTAACCATTTAGTGGTGTTTGGCAAAAAAAGCTTATTGCTTATTAGTTTATTAGCTTATAAGTTAATAAGTAAGTGTATGGTAACTTATGAAAAAATAACGTATTAGAGGTTCCCCACCAGAATAAGTTATTTTAATACAAACATTTTTTTAACTTATAGTGATGTGAAACCTAATAAGTAGTTTTAAAAAAGCTTAGCCAAACACCCCCTTAATATGGTATGGTAATGCTTTTGAAAAATAGATATCATTTAATATTCATTTCTCGAAGTAAACGCAAAATGGTTTTAACTCTAAAGAGATCAAATTATTCGCCGCCCGTCAATTTGCGCGGGTAGACGGCTAGTGTGTGTGTGTATGTGTATGTGTGTGTGTGTGTGTATATATATATATATATATATATATATATATATATATATATATATATATGTTTTTTATGTATGTATTGGTACAAATTCGCGTTTATCTATATTTCAACGTAATTTTTTAATGTTTTCATGCTTATTTTTATATATTTCTCCTACATATCAATCGATCACATATAATAAGTTTTTTCTGGTTTGAACTTCTATGCGTTGACTTAATAAAATAATTTTAATTGCTTATTTTTATATATATATATATATATATATATATATATATATATATATATATATATATGTTGATATAAATTCAAGTTTCTTTACGATTTGATATAAATTTTGTGTAGACTTTGATTATTTTTATATACGTTTCCTACCTATGATTTGATATATTTTTAGTGGTATCGATATTCTATATTAATCTACCAACAGAAGCCACAATATGTAACTTTTATCAAATTCAATCATCAAGATTCAATTTAAACATGTTACTGCGGCTGCAACTCGAGGCGGGTAAAATCCTAGTTAAAAACTAAATATTAATCCTACAGCTGGAAAAGAATGTAATTAGGGCCACCCACATCATGGTGGTCCTGTGGCGGTGCTATGGTGGCCAACAGTGGTCAAACCACCATAATGAAAAATACGTTGTTATTAAATCATTTATAGAAGACTCTAGCAGCATGAGGCTGCTGGTGGTGGTCTTGCGGTCGTTTAGGGCGGTGACAAATCAAAACAACCAAACTCCCATTTATAGAAAAAGAAAGGCAGCATGTCCGAACCGGATGCACATACACACAAAATCACGCACACATACAGCCACAACTGGGTGGCCGTTGATGGCAGTAGGAGGCTGCTGGTGGCGGTGGTGGCAGTCTCCGGCAGAAATCAGAAGAAAGGAAATCGAAAGGAATTGCTTACAATCAATGATCAGTCAATCCATCCGAACTCCCTCTCCAGTACAAGGTCCCGCTACAGCAATAGGTTTTCCGGCGAACCTGCAACTTCCGGTGACTCTTTTTCCGTGTTTTTTTTCTTCCTGAATCGCAGCCCAAAACCGAAGGATTCTATAATCCCACGTATAATTATCGATTAAGGTAGATGTTGTGAGGGATAAATGCTTGTGTTGGATTGAAGCCCAACAAATCACGTACGAGGCTTGCCAAAAATCTTGATCGATTTACATTGAGGATATTCCGAGTTTAACATATTTGATCCCTCTATTTTAACATCATGACAGAAACAGCCCCTCCACACAAAAGTCTTAGACATAGTAGGTTTTGAAATCTCGGCATTGTAAACTTTGAACTAAATTTACAATAAAATTAATCTGGACCAAAAATATAATATTTGAAAGTGTAATGACCTATTAACCGGATAAAAAAGGGCCAAAATAAATATAATTACCAGATTTTATGACTTAATTAAATAAAAAAACATAAAAACAAAATCGATTATGATACTAAAACAAGGAGTATTGTTATATTTGACTTTTTCCTGTCTTGCTTCTCCATAATCGATTGGCTCAAAGCCTCGATAAAAAAACAGTCTTACCCGTTCAAACAACTCCCAAATTTTTATTATTGAGACTTTGAAAGATGATAAAATACGATCATTGGAACTTAACTTAAAATTCCGTTTAGTAATTACAAAATACTTATCAATTAACACAGCAAACATAACATTTCCTTCGCGGAATCACTCCATAAACAGCTGACTGAAGCTGAAACTATAACTCCAAATTACAATTCGGAATGACATTCATATTCCTGAGTCTGGGAACACCATTACCAACATTCATATTCATCCATATGTCATGATCTCCGCCTCTTATTGGTGGAAAATAACCAGGAGGACCAAATCGACCATAAGGATTCCTTATCCTCATCAAATTCACACCCGATCTTCCACTCCTACTCTCACTAGCCCTCCTCATCCTTTTCCAACTTTCCATAGCCTTTGCAAATCTCTCTTTAAAACTCCCCGACCCTTGACAACCCCCAAATTCAGCAACATACTTTTGTTTCCAGAGCTCATCGCTCGATGCCAGGTATCGCAATTCCGAACATACACAGCTCATATTTGCAACATCAACACCGGAAACGGAATCCAAAATCTTCAGTTTCAGTTCACTTGGAAGTTGAATGAAGCAAGGCGGGAGTTCCAAACCGGTTTTCTCACATAAATCGATTAAAAGCGGAATCGCGATCCCGTCTTTTGTTTTCCTCCAAAACTCAAAAACTTCTCGTTCTGGTTCCACAGTTGATACGTGGTTGTTGTCTCCCATGGTTTCCACTACTTTTCCGCAGTTAGCCCATACCACGTTCAGAAACGGGACCAGTTTGTCTTCGTCCAAGAGGACGGAATGCACGATTCCGTTTGCTAAAGACCCGTAAACTTTGCAGTACTTTCCGAGGCTCTGGAATCTGATCTTGACGGATTCGATGTTTCCGGTGGTGATGAGGTCGGGAAGAGTGAAGTGGAATGAAGCGAGATGCCAATTCCGTTGAATGTCAAAGTTATTACCACCTTTTAATGTCTTTGAAACGGGATCGATCTCTAGAAACCCGGATTCCAGTAACACGGCGCGAACCGCTATTGCTAAAAGCTTGTGATTGAGACCTTTGTCGTCGCTGAGTTCCTCGGTGAAAACTTTCCTTAGAAAACCCGGAACGGAAAAGGACTTTCCGGGTTCGGAAACGGAATTCCCATCATCGTCTATTTCCATAGAGTCTTCGGTCTCTTCTGGAGTGGGGTTAAGGGTTTTGTCTGGATTTGGAGTTTGGGAATGTTGAGATTGTTCTGATTTGGGTGGTGGTGGTGGTGGAGAGACAAGAGGGGAAATGGAAAATCCATTAGGGTTTGTCGTGAAGTAGATGAGATCACCAGATGTGATTCCGGTTGACTGAATAGAATCTTCAGGGGAAGAAGTTGTAAGGTTGTCTTTTTGGTTGAGAGAGAAATATATAGCAGAAGAACGTGAAGAAGAAGAAGAAGGGAGTTTTTGAGATAGGAGTTGTGTAAGATGGTGGAGAGTGCAGGGATTAGGGACTTCAAGTTTAAGGGTTTCTTTGGTTTCAAAGGATCTCAGTCGCAACTTCATGATTGGTTTTAAAATCTGCAAAAACAACAAAAAATGATCAAAGATACAAATTTCAAAACATAAAAGGAAACTAATAGATAAATATATTTCCTGATCTTGTTTGATCTATAAAAAAGGAAAGTGAGCCTATCTCAAGGCCATCCAATCAGTGTTTTTGTTTTATTTCTTTTTGATGAATTATTTTTTACCAAAACAGTGCAAACCAAAGAGTGAATTACAAATATGTTTCTCAATCTTGAGACACTTATGTGAAAATTTTCCCTTCTAGCCCTTCAATACAAAAACCTCTAATAACTTTGGTACATATGAACTCGGTAAAAAAACTGTGTTTAATGAAAATACAATATTTGTGTAGGGACAAAACAATCATTTAACAAAATAAATTATATTGTGATGCATATTCAGTGGGAAGCATCATGATTTTTTCACATGACCTCAGATAAGAGGGTGTGGCAACTTCAAATTGGGGTAACCTAGTATAGGACTCTTAGTTACCTAGTTTATGGTATATACCATTTTTCTTTATATCTCTCTCACTAATACCTACTTTTTCTATATCCACCATAAGGCTATCTATATCTAACCTCCCCTTACCTCATTTTGGTATGGGATTAGGGTACTGTTGTTGTTGCCATTAAAGAGAAGGTTATTAAAACAGGTAGTTTCAGTTATACACCTTGTTATTATTAATTACTAATTACTAATTTACCATACTCAAAAGTTACGTACCAAATTTTGAGCGAATATGAAAACATGTTATCCCATTAGGTTTTACCCTATCACTACAAAGAACATTGATGTGGTGTTAAAATAAGATAGATTCTGTCTGATATGCTCAAAGAGTTATACAGCTACAGATGCTGATATAATTGCTTTGAGAGTCTGTAATGCACGATTCTTTCTAAGGAAATTAGCACATAGTTGGTAACCCAAATAGAATAGTGAATATTTAATATATCTAAGAAACCAAGTAAGTAGGTGAAAAGGTAAAAAAAAAATACACAAAATAACTTTTTGTGCAAAGAAAAGAAAATAAGAGAGACGGAGTAGGAACCATAATAGATAAAATGATGGAACTGTTTTCTTTTCCCTAGTAATACATGAGTTTGTCATTAATGTCAATATTACATATGTGATATAGCACTCAACTATGATTGATTGGGTAGCAAGAGACATTCTATAACGACTTAAATGACGCACGTAGCATGGCGTCAACAAAAGAAAAAACATAGCATGTGAAATGCGGTGCACTCCATTTTTATAGAGCAGGAAAAATATATGAAAAAGAAAAACACACATTTATTTTAGCACGACAAAATAGAATCATGTAATCATCAGTTACTAAGTTAATGCACAAAACGACAACACGAATATATTATTTCAAAATAACACTGAAAGCCAATTGTATACTATGTTAAACAACTGGATTGATGAACTATTATTAGTCATTAGAGTTATCATCTTATATGATATAGGTATCATCATTCTACATTCATATTGAAAGTATAATTGTTAACTAAGAGGTCAAAAAACAAAAGTGCACATCACATAATAACCAACAAGGATAGTGTATATTTGTAAATAAAAGAGAAACATAAAATGTGCTTCTACCAAAAGTATGTTATTCTTTTAAATAAAAAGCATGATAGGTATATACTCCCGATTCCAAACATTATAAGAAACTCATTATTAGTATGGATAACTATATGAACTTATAAAGCGCATGTATTTTGTATGTTGCATTTAATTGAGATATCCACTGTAAATAAGTTTTGGGAAGGAATCTTTTATAAAGTCATCTCAAAATGAGTAATAAGACACGAATCTCTGGTCTTCGTTTCACTTTCACCTGCATCTCATCATTTCCATCTTGATCCAATTTATTTTAGAAAAGGATCGCTTTTATGTTATAAAGAGAGTGAAAAAATGATTTTAACACAAAGCACACAATTTTGATTAGAGGAGTGTCTACTCTCTATTATAATTGCTTTAAAATAAGAGAACTATAATGGTCATGTTATGACTACTTGAATTTCTGAAAGTATTCCGGAAGGTTCTGAATACTGAAAAAATAATCAAGATTCAAGGAGACTAGGAGAGCAATGGCGTTGGATGACACTAAAAACAGAGTGAAACCTGATGACCATTTGTAGTGCTCAAAGCTCTAGTTTAATGGATGACCTCCTAAAAAAGGATGATCGGAATAAAAAAAACACCCACAGTTCATCGATTAGGGTTCCAATGTACAACAAGTGATAAATAAATCAAGATATTTTTTATATGTAAAATTTTAGGTCATCGCCCCCAAAAATTTGCTCCATTAGGGTTTCAACACACATCAATACAGCAACACAACATCTATACGCAAGAGACTGGGACACGCTGAACGAAATTTTACGAACATTTTATATATTGGCGTAGGGAGGAATACCTCAAGTTTTAAGTCGATTGTAGAAAAGCGCAGCAACGCAGTTCTGCACGGAGAAGCGACGGCGACGGCGACGTGCGACGGAGAGATCGGCTGTCGTGGTTCACGAAAACTTGTGCGACAATTTACGGTGAGAAATGAGAGGCGTTACGACATCACTATTTGCCCTGTTATCGCTTATTCGCTTTCCACGAGTAAATTTACAATTTATTTTGATGATTTTGTATGCCCGCGCAGAAAAGCGGCAATATCTTTTGTGTGTTTTTACGGAAAAAATAATCATCAGATTTTCTTACTTATTATGTAATATGAGAAGATATGAAAAGTTATGGAAATGACTTAAAACGACCATAGAAATTTTAAATTCGATTAAAAAAAATTATTCACTTATTACATGTTCAAAAAACACCATTAAATTAATATATATATTCAAAAAACACCAATGAAGTACATGTTATGTTATACTTAAAAAACATTATCTCTATGGTTTTGGATAACTTATATATTTAGTCTCTAACTTTTTTTTAACTCAAAGAGTCACTTTAGTTTAAATTTGCTTTGACTTTGAATCTAGTTAAAAGACTATTATACCTTTATTACTTTTATTTAACATTATTTTTAATATTTATTAATTATTTATATAATTTATGTTATTATTATTATAAATATATCAATAGTATAAATAACTAACAAGTAATCAAAGTAAATGTTAAATGAAACTAACAAGGGTATATTAGTCTTTTAAGCCGATCATGGTCCATAGGCAAAATAAACATAAACGCTAGAGACCATTTGAGTTAAGAAAAAAAAGTCAGGGGCTAAAGATGTAAGTTACCCCAAACCATAGAGATGATGTTTTTTTGAATAGAACATATATACTTCGTTGGTGTTTTTTGAATATATATATATATATATATATATATATATATATATATATATATATATATATATGTGTGTGTGTGTGTGTCTTAGTTTGATAGTGTTTTTTGAACATTTAATACTTATACCAGATATATGCCCGCGCAGAAAAGCGGCAATATCTTTGACTTTGAACCTATCGAGTTAAAAGACTAATATACCTTTATTACTTTCATTTAACATTATTTTTAATATTTATTAATTATTTATATAATTTATGTTATTATTATTATAAATATATCAATAGTATAAATAACTAACAAGGGTATATCAGTCTTTTAAGTCGATCATGGTCCGTACGCAAAATAAACATAAACGTTAAGGACCATCCGAGTTAAGAAAAAAAAAGTCAGGGGCTAAAGATGTAAGTTACCCCAAACCATAGAGATAATGTTTTTTTGAACAGAACATGTACTTCGTTGGTGTTTTTTGAGCATATGTCTTAGTTTGATGGTGTTTTTTAAACATGTAATACTTAAATGGTGTTTTTTGAACAAATTTGAAACTTCGATGGTCTCCTAAGTCATTATCCTAAGAGTTACCGCATTTAGTTAAAATATTTATCTTTAGTACTTATATTTATATTGTATGTTTATATATTTGATGTAATTTAATTATTATATGTATCTAGTTTAACAAATATAAATTAATTTATATTGATGAATTTAATATTTTAAAATTGTTATTTTGCTCCAAATTAATTTTTTAATAAGCTTCCTTAAGTCAAGTCTTCAGATTTTTAGTAAATATTAATGGTTTTGTTATGTATAATTGATTTGTACAAAAAACTTTGTATCTTGCAACTCTTAAAATTAAAATTCATGATATAACTAATATGTTTTATATATAGTATACGATAAGATATTTTCTTTATCTATATCAAAGGATAACAAATGTTATATTTGAGTAATATTTTTTTTTTTCGTTCTTTGGAACAGCTATATTTGAGTAATATTAATAATAATTTAATATATTTTTCATCATTTCAAATAGATACAAACATGAGTAGGAAAAGAAAATAAAAGGATATATTTCATACCAAATTTTTATCTGTCTTGTATCTCTTTTGATACGGTATAACTTTAATTAAAATGAAAAAAATAATAATAAATAAATAAATAAAAACTCACAAGGATAATTATGTTTCAAAACCCTTTAAAAAATATCATTCAAGTTCAGTCTGTTCATAAAGAACGTCATCCAAGTAAGGCTTTTGTACAAAAAATACTAGCAAACTACGTACTTTGTTCAAATGTCACCCTTATGATAACTGATATTTATAAGTAAAAATTAATTAAGGAAAAAAAATACGAGAAAAAAACTCAAGGGGGGTAACTATATTTCAAAATCATTTAAAAAACAACATCCAAGGTAAGGTGTATTCAAAAAACAACATCCAAGTAAGGTATTTGTACAAAAAACATTAACAAACTGTACATTTTGTTCAAATGTTACTCACTATTAACCAACTCTTGTAGGTTAAATGATGACTTAGTCTAATTATTAATGATATGACATAATAATTAGTGACATGCATTAATTGATACAATCCTCCTTTAAAAATCGATTTAGGACTTCTTTATAAATGAATTGTAATTCCCAATTTTCAGGTATTGATTTAATATAAAGTTTCTTGATTTCAAAGGCTACTCGACGAGTTGGTTGCCCTACTCATCGAGTAGCAATGGGTTAGTCCACGCATTTTAATGACCTACTCGCCGAGTCCAAGGAGGGACTCGATGAGTAGGAGCTGGCAGATGAAACCCTAAATCCCAGGGTTTTGCACCTTATTTAAAGGATCAATAGCCTCCCTTTATCCCCCTTGCAGTCTTTTGAGAACCAAACCAACCCTAATTCGTGTGTGTGTGCGCTTCATTTTGTGTGTTATAAGTTTTGGAAGGTGAATATTAGTGAGGAAAGCTTGGAGAAACAAGTGGCTAGAAGCAAGGAACTTGTGGGGGATCAGAAATCTACCTCAGTTAACATCATTTGAAGGTATCAAGTCGTCACCTTTACCTCATTCCTTTCTAGATCTCATTTAGCTGGAGTTTAGGGTATTTTTGGCTTGGTTATGATGATATTATGGTGTATGAACTAGATCTGAAGTTGCAACTTCAGATCTGGACCCTTCTTGGGTTCTAGGATCATAAAGTTTCGAGCTTGGTCCTGCATGAAGCCTTCCTTGAGTGTAAAACTCCATTATAATCCTAAATTTGTCATTTAGAGCCTTTAGAGCCTTGCATGCACGTAAAGTTTGCAACTTTACGTGATAAACATGCCTTGGGAAGCTGGATCTACAATATGGAGAATTGGCATGCCTTAAAAAGCATATGTATGGATGAAGGATTGAAGGGACTCGGCGAGTCATATGAAGATGGGCATGAACTCGACGAGTTGATGAACAACTCGGCGAGTCCGTTGAAGATTGTCGTGGACTCGGCGAGTCGGCTAGGGTTTTTCTCAACCTTTAGACACGTATGAACTCAACGAGTTATAAGGGAAGTCAACGAGTCAACCTAGGATTTCACTACTTCTCGAGTTCAGGAAGAACTCGACGAGTCGGTGAAATGCGCTCGACGAGTTGGGTCAACATGGATTGTTGACCTTGACTGTTGACTTTGGCTTTGACCCAGGGTTGACCAGTGGACCTCTGGGGGTATTTTGGTAATTTGGAGATTTATGGAAAAAGGGTTTATGGTATCTATAGGTGGTGGAGTTCGTGTTCGTGATTCGAGAGTTTGAGCCTATCATTTTCTGTGTACCATTGTGAGGTGAGTTCTCCTCACTATATCAACAGGGTCTACGGCACCAAGGTCGGCCCTTTATGATTCCATCCTGGTTTTAGGATGTTGCTATGCTATGTGATCTGTTAGATCCGTATGATTATCTGTACATATGCTAGTGACCTGGTTAGGTTAGTATCCTGGCATAATATGATGTTATATTAGTGATCGGTTAGGTCGGTATCCTAGTTATAGGATGTTGTTATGTTACTTGATCTGTTAGATCGGTTGACTGTTATATATGCTAGCGTATGATATGTATGTGCACATGTTTGTTTGATTGGGGGTAGGTTGAGGCGGGTCTGCTTTGTGCTGAAGGCCAACATACCCAGGGCAGTCCGAATAGACTACAAACCCAGGAGGGTATGGTAGTCAGACCGAAGGCCCGGTGAGCGGTCCGGATAGGCTGAAGGCCCTACGAGGTGGTCCAAACGTGTCGAAGGCTCGGAGAGCGGTCCAGATAGACTGAAGGCATGTGAGGCGATCCAGTCAGGCTGAAGGCTCATTATACATGATGTTTGCTTATATGATTATATGATATGGTTATGAGGTTGGTATTTTGGAGGTAGCTCACTAAGCTTTCGGGCTTACAGTTTCGATTGTTGTTTCAGGTACCTCTGGTGATCGCGGGAAGGCAAAGGCATGATCGTACCGCTCCTCTAGATGCTATGATTTTTATGATTTGATACTGGGATACTCTGATAATTAGTATTTTGAAAACAAACTATGTAATGTTAAATGGTTTTAAGTTCTTTGGAAAAGTTTAAATTTAGTTTGAATTTTTGGGTGTTACATGAACGACATGAATTTGTGAAAACAAAGGGATAAATGTCTATAAGTAGCTCAAGAAATGAAATTGTGAAAACTGAAAAATGAATTGTAACACCTAGATTTCAGGTATTCGTTTTAACCCTTGAGTTATGTTTATTATGCAAGTTTAGTCTCTGGTGGCAATTTTGTAAATTCGAAGACCTGTGGAGTACGTGGGGCGTACACCCTCGTACGCAGTGTGTACTGTTAGGTTTTATACAAACAATCTTATGTGTGCATACAACCCTAGTTTGGATCTATGTTTTCACTATAAGACATACAACTATATGAACACAAAATAAACCCTGGCATGCTTCTATGATTTTCGAAATTTACATAGAAGTGTAGAAAAACATACCTTTGTTGTTATATAGCAATAACAACTAGTTTCCTTGATCTCTTGAACTCTCTAGAACTCTTGAAAGCAAGCACCACAATTGTAGTGCCTCTAATGGCTCACAAACACCTTGAAGCAAGAAGGCAACTAAGAGAGAGAAGGGAATGGTGCTAATTTCGGCCCTAGGGTTCCCTTGGAATCAAGTGGCCTTAAATTGAAGCATAGGGTATGTATTTATACTATAGGGTGCTAGGGTTTCAGTCAAAACCCTAATGGACAGCTTAGCCACCAAGCAGCCCAAGAAACCTTATGGAATGAGGCCTTAGACGAAAATATGATGATCCTTCATCATAATTTCGTTCCCCCTTAGTCCATTAGGTTTCCTAGCCCAAAACTCAACTATCACACAATTGACAGTTTATACCCCTTTATTTAATTTGTCTCTTTTAGTCACCAAATTAATTCCTAATTAATTTATGACTAATACTAATCAAATAAATATGATTTCTCCTTTAATATATTATTCTTATAATATATTAATAAATCATAATATCTCCTCTCTCATATCAAATTACCTTGTCAAGTTGCTTTGGTGAAGGCAACCCAAAAGGACCATGCACACTCGGGTCAAGTATATACCAAATATGGTTACTGACTTAGACATTAATCCAACAGTCTCCCACTTGGATAAGTCTAGTAACTATATCTCACGTATTACTTCCGTACCCGATAGCAATCGTAGCTTTCAATAGCCGCTGTCAACTCTGACAATAACTTGTCCTTTAGATAAGGGATCGTATAATCCTCTGTTCTAGATATCATGCTAACAATACTTATTGTCTAGCATTTTATTTCTTGATCTCTGATTCGTTCGACATAGAACTCAGTTGAACACATCAACTTCATCTTGACCGGGCCCGGCACATAAGTCAAACCAAATCATC